GTGAGGTCCCCGTCTGCACTTTCCTTTCTGTCCTTTGGCTAACGAGGTAAGAGCGGTGCAGTCAGGGCCGCTGCGCACACGAACGGTGCGGCCACCTCACGTATTGCTTTCGAAAAGTGGCCAGAATGTAGACATGCACATTCCTCCACCATGCGACTTGATTGCTGCCTGGGTGAATGTCTGAACTGGAGGTGGGACCAACACCCCAAGTGTGCATAGGACTGCAACTTTAAATGAACAACACACGTGTGAGTGGCACACATTGGAGTGCTATTCCTTTGGTGCTGGACAATCTTTGAAATAAAATGAGAACACTTGAAATATTTCCCAGCTGCGATAAAAGCTATACTTATTAATAGAAAACGGTGACATAATTAAAAAATCAATATGTTCTTTAGAGAACACTAATGCTACATTTGTTGTGAACTTAACAGGGGTGGGGATTTTCATTTTTTGGACGGAAGGTGCAAAACAGTGCAAAGTATATTTAAGTCTTACAGTATTTCACTACAAAAATGTAGCATCAAGCGCATAAAGTTTCTCTTGTTATAACTTGTATGTGAAGAGAAAAACCAGAATAGCTCTGAAATTTTTAAAGGATGATGCAGATGAATGCACAGGTATTGTGACAATAAAGCACTTTTGCACAATATTTGTAATAGCATTGCTTTTTAAAAAAGATACTGAAGCATTACAAGAATTGTGCAAGGGCTAATCTACATAAATGCCTTTCTGTTTCACTGACATCTTGTATACTTGAGGCCGTTCACCAGGTGGCTTACAGTGCCTAAGCAATACATGTGATCTGTGTATACTGTGATTGTTTTTCTCCATGTCCAATGGCTCATTAAATTAAAATTAAAACCCTGTTAATACCAGATGCTACCATTGGCAGGAGAGCATGTGCATGGTGGTATTCGTGGGAGAGCAATGGTGTTAATTCAATTGTTCCCAGTTGCCAACTCACGTTCTCTGTCCACCTGTTTCCTCCTTTCTTTCTTTCCCATGTGCTAGAAAAGAAGGAGAAGAAGATGAGAGGAGGATGAGCATCTCATCTAGCTTACTTCCTCCTCCTCCTCCTCTTTCACATCATCTATCCTTTTATGTTTCTGGAGCAGAAGAGGCAGAGGACTGGAGAACCCGAGATGCAGGCATTTGTGACTAGCTAACAGTCATGCCACTTCCCCTCCCAAAGTTAGAGTGGTGGGAAAGAAGATAGCAGGGATGCTAGTGACTGCTCATGGAGGACCCTTGTTCATTGAGGTTTTTCATCTGAATTTTACAAGAGCTTTATAAGAGCTATCCATGGAACACCCTGACATGCTCCTATAGAGCTGAAAAAGGTTGTGATGGATGAGGAGCCCCACTGCCCCCAGCCTCCCTTGGGAGGACAGAATAGTGGAGCAGGACGACAGGTGTTCCAGGAGGCATTTGGTGATAGACTTGAGGTGGACAGGGAAGAAGGCTCACATGCTGCCTCTGTGGCAGGGAGGGCAACATGGGCTCATGGCAACAAGTTTTTTTTCAAAGCAAGCGCGCAGGGAGCAAAATTTCAGCAGCAAATTTGGCAGCATGGTGGCAAACAGCTCCTAGTGGACCTCAGGCAAAGGGGGAGTAGGATCATCACCTGGACCCCCTGAAATTTGCCCCCTGCTGTACACAATGCCTCACAAGCAGTGCTAGTTACCTTTCACAGCAGAAGAGGTTACAATTTAGGATTATCCCTTTACATTACACATAACTTATTCCAATGCACACCAAACGGATGCAGCACTTTCCTTCCCTAAGCACGTTTCCCATGAAAGGGGGTTTTTGTTTAAACCTAGAAGCCTCATTAAAGTGATTCCACACACCTACAAGGAAGCGCTGTGTATACTATGGGTGCATACTAAGGGTGCAATCCTAGACATATTTAGATAGAAAAAATCCTGGGGCATACTGGGAGTTGTAGGACATTTTTATCTCTAAATGTGCATAGGATCATACCATAAGTTGGTTACACTTTATTTGTCTGAATGGAACTCAAGGTAATCATGACTGACTTTCCTCATTGAACTCAGATGGATGGGACCGAAGCATCATTGCTCCAGATCCAACCTGCTGTGTATACTGTGAAGATAGATGCAAAATCTGAATTTGAAAACCATGAATGGTGGAAATAAAGTATATGCCTAAGTTTTAGACAGGAGAAGTACAATCATATACATATCTATTTAGAAGTAAGATTCAGCGAATTCAGTGGTGCTTATTCCCAGGTAGGTGGCTATAGAATTGCAACTATAGGTGCAGCCTTATAGAAGCTTAGACAGAAAAAGGCTTTACAACTTCCAGCATGCCCCAGTTTAAGTGCCCCAGTTTGAAGAACTCCAGGCATGCCCCCTTTTCAGTTTGAATGTGCATAGGATTGCACTTTAAATCAGAAAATAAATGTATTCAATTAATAAGTTAAGAATGCACATTTCTTAGTGCAAACTAATTGTAGAAAGAAGACTCAGGAAGTCATCAAATCAAACCATCTTCAAGCTCTTAAAAATAACTACTTTTTTCAACCTTGTGGCAAGTTGAGCCCCAGTTAAGGGCTGTTTCATACGTGGACATTTCTCAGAGACAGAGGTGTCCTTCCCTGAAGCCATCACATACGAGGAGTTACAAGAGTTCATTTTGTTGCTAGTAGCTGGCTCTAGCAAATGGCTCTTGCAGTAATAAGAAAATGCTGGAGCTTCTTTCAGTACTTGTTCAAAATTTCTGGATTCCCAGAGTTTTCCACAAACCTATTGCCATAACTGGGGCACTTGTGCTGATGCATCAAAATGATCAATGCAACAAAGCATTCAATAAACAAATGCAACCAATAAAACAGGACAAATTTTAACTGGTAGCCCATTATCATGCCTAGCAGACAGCAAACTTGAACTTCCTGATTCAAAGCCAATGTAACAGACTGTCTTTCTGTTCTTGCTGCAGCAGGCAGCATGTGCGTTTTCAATGCTATTCTCCAACACACAGCACTGATTCTGTGTCACAGAACAAGAGGACATCTGGTGCCCGTTCGAATGAAATGCTTACTGCTTGCCTAAATCACTGGCACTTTAAAAACAAAACATGTTACTTCTGTGTAACCTGATAACCATGGACTACCTCCAGTGTTGGTCCTACTTAGGGTGGACCCATTAAAATGAAAAGAGCTTAAGTTAGATGCAGTCATTGGTGACACCCCCATATTTGTGGACATAGAAGCTCCATTATCTGAACTTCTTGGTGTCCAAACCGCTAGTGTCTGTAGCCTCATTAGTGCCTGAGCTGCACTTCAGCTTATCCAGAGCTCTGATTCAGAGTCCACTGCATTGGGTCAAAACATAATACTTTAAAGTTACAAAGTCGTAAGCCTGCACATTGTCCTCAATTGCTCCAAAGGCTAAAGTGCCCAGTTCAGGGCCAACATAGGTGGGACGTTAAAATCACTTTGCAATTCACGTGCACACTTTTAAAAAATGCAAATAGCAGCTGCTGGGTTGGTGGGCTGATAATTATCAGGAGCGTTCCTCAGAATGCATGTCACAAGTCTTCTTTTACAGAGGACAGTCCTCTGTGTGAAGAGCTGCCAGAGGACCATCCTCTCTTTGAAGGGCTGGGTAGATGGATAAAGATAAAAAGGCCATAAGCTTCGTTGCCCATCACCAGGGAGGACCTGAGCAGCAGACCAAGCCGGCAGGCGTGCAGGTCACCTGGTGAATCTTCCACACTACAGGGAACGTTGCTGTAAATCATAAGAATGATTTCTAAATTTGCATCTGTACAACATATACATTCGCATATGAAATGCAATACAAATTTGTGTCTTCTTTTTTGGTGATGCGCATCTTCTTTTTCAATGATTTGCAAGTGGCCACCCTATAGGAGAGCAGGAGAGGGTTAAACTCCCCCTCCCCAGTGATCCCAATGATGATCAACCCCTCCAGCGGTTGGTATTTGCATCAGAACAAGCTGCCATTGATGTGAACTTGAAAAAAGCCTTCAGCATATTGCCTAGTTTGGCCCCAGCAAGTGCAAAATGTACACATTGCAGTTTTAGGTTTAAAATTAAGATATTTTAAGGTTTAATCCAGTGTTTCTTTAACCTTGCAGGGTAGGTGTCCCGTGTGTGTGTGTCTGTGAGAGAGAGAGAGAGAGAGAGAGAGAGAATAAAATGCTGCCTTCCATGGCAAAAAATGAATGGACAGAGTACAGCATATCAGCAACAGGGAAAGGACAACAAACTTGTCTCTGTCCTAAGCTTCCCCTTCTCGCTTTGCTCCACTGTTGAGAGGCTGCCTTTCCTCTGTCCTCCAGGATCCTGGGACTCCAGCAAACAGGGAGCAGCCCAGTGGGGACCCATTCAAAGGCAGGGTGTTCCCCAGTGTCCCAGAGAAGCTTTTGGTGGGGCTACAGAGGAGAGGGAGCTGTTTGGAAGTGCTCAGGCACCCATGAAACTCCACTCCATACTGGATGCCCAGAACTGAGCGCTCATTCAGAAAGCACAGTGGTGGGGTAATTTCAGAAGTTTTTACAAACTCTGGTGTACACATAAAATTTCTGCATGAATGAGAACAAACATGTGGTCCACTCGTCAGAAAACTGCAATTAGCTGCCATTTCTTCTAATGTACTCATCCAGACATAATGTACACATTGCCATGATTTGGAATGAAGTTGTCAAAAAAGAAAACGTACAAAAGAAAATGTGATGTTAATACAACTTGTGCTATCATCACATCTCAGACATTCTATACATTTATATTTGCTCTTCCAAATGCTTTACTCATACAAAGGAAATAAACAGCAATGCCTTTGTGACCTCCACACCCAGTGCTCAGGTGGAATGCAATAGAAATAATGGGATGATCTGTAGAAATGCAACGGATTAAAATGTGAAAGATATGGATGCAAATCATCAGTTGGAGCCAAACCTTCAGGTGTGTATAGGAACCTTTTTCACTGGTCCTCAAGAACCCACTGTTCAGGCTAGGGCGTGAGTGGTGGTTTAGGTGAGGAACAAGAGCCTTGACTGTCAAAACTGGTTGCTCGGCCTGGCAACTGGAAGAGATGATAACTTTTAAGAATGTAAGAGGAGTCACAAGAACATCAGAGCCCTGATGGATCAGCCCAAAGGTCCATCTGGTCCAGCAATCCCTTCACACAGTGGCCAACCAGCTGCCCACAGGAAACCCCCATGCAGGACATGATTGCAGCAGCACCCATGTTCCCCAGCAACTGGTGTATATAGGTATGCTGCCTCTGATACTAGAAGTAGCATAGAGCCATTTATCAAGAAATAAATGGTCCAGTCCCCTTTTAAAAGCATCCAAATTGGTAGTCATTACAACATGATGTGGGAAAAAAACCTATAGTTCAGCTATTGTGTGAAGCAGGCTTCCTTTTATCTACCTTGAATGCCCCACCCATCAGCTTCATGGGATGCCACTGGTTCTAGTATGGGAGAGGAAGAAAATCGTCTCCCCTCTACTTCCTCCAGGCCATGCATAATTTTCTATATCTTCATCAAGTCCTTCTTTACTGACCTTTTCTCTAAAGCATCACAGAGGTGGTTATCGTTCCTTGAAAGAGAATTGATCCAGCCCCTTGATGATGTTCATTTCAATTTTCTACACTATTTCCAATTCTACAAGATCCTTTTTTAGGCATGGTGAACAGACCTGTACACGATATTCCTAGCGTGGCTGCACCACAAATTTGTATAAAGGAAGTAGCATACTGGTTGTTTTATTCTCAAGGTCTTTCCTAATTACATAGAACACTGAATTTGCCTTTTTCAGAGCAGCCATATACTGGGCCAAGATTTTCATCAAGATCTTCACTACAATGCCAAGGTCTCTTTCTTGCTTGGTCACTACCAGCTCAGCTCCCATCAGTTTACACTCAAAGCTGGGAGGTTTTGTCCCTAATACATTACTTTACACTTGCTTATATTGAACCACATGTGCCATTTGGATGCCCATTCTCCCAATTTGGAGATATCTTTTTGGAGCAACTTCCAAACCCCTTTTGTTTTAACCACCCCAAACAGTTCAACATCATCAGCAAACTTGGCCACTTCTTCATTCACTCCTAATTCCAGTTCATTTATGAATAAGCTGAAAGGCATTAAGTCCATTACAGAGCCATTCATGATTATAGATGTTCCTTTCCTAGCCAAGGAAATCTGGCTAGGTTAAGGTAAAGTATCTGTCTGTCTGTCTGTCTGTCTGTCTGTCTGTCTGTCTGTCTATCTATCTATCTATCTATCTCTAATCTGCCTCATTAGTCACATGGCTCCTGGGTTAGGGGGTTTTCATTGACTACTGCCTCTAAGGTGGGCTATGATTTGCTAAACTGCTAATTTAGTTGCGAGTATTTTATCGTTTGCATTGAAACACCTAAACATGTTCTAGCTCTCTAGGTGTATTTATTTCCCCTTTGATTGGTTATCATATATCAATATATGCTCATGTCTAGGGATGTGGAGGAATTTGTATTGGAGCTGGGAACCTGATGGATTCCTTGGGCTTTCCTCCCTGGACTCTGGTTTACCTTGTCACGGCCTTGAACCTGAGTTCTCGGCAAGTGTGCTCAGCATTCATGTGGTGCTTGCCAGCAATTGAGCCTTGCACAACTGCTGTGCAAGCAGTGTTCTGCTTCTGTGTCACATGCAGCAGCCTCATTGGGTTGCACAGCCTTTGTTCCATGAGTGTCCGTGGTCTTCCTCTTGGCTCAGCTTGCTTTCTAGGACTAGGCTGAGCACAAGAGGAAGTCTGAGCGCTCAAGGGACAGCTTTGTTGCATCACTACTGAGGGCTCCCTGCCTCCCTGCATTCAGGCGATGGAGGTGCTTTCCGCTCCTCAGCTCCTGAGTGCTGTCCCCAAGCTGCTCTGCCGCCTTTTAAAATAATTAGCACCAGCAGCCTTGTTCTGTTCTAGTTCAGGTGGGGTCTGTTCCTCTTGCGCAGATTGTTCCAAAATGTGCCTAAAACCTGGCTGTGAGTATGCAGCAGGTGACATTTCAGACAAAGATATCTGGTGGTCCAAATTTCAACTTCCTACCGACTGAATCTGTCTTTCAGAACCTCCTGACTACATTTCCTCACATTATTTTACATCTTGTGAAATACTTCCTTTGGTCTGTCCTGAATCTATTGCCAATTCATTTAATTGGACTATCTTCCTGGGCTTGAATATTTAGTATGAAATGCTCATGCTACAGTTGGGTTACACAAAAAGGTTATCCATCCATCTTATGGAAAATCCCTTCCTCAAAATATATGCTTGGGTTTCCTGAGACCTTAAATATTTTGATCCATCTTTTATGAAGGCTGAGCTCTGTTTCTTCCCATGCTGTGTTCTTTTCATTGTATCTGGTTGACTTTGAATTCTCTTTGCTTTCGAATTGTAAATTCATTTATATTACACGCTAATGTGTTCTGCTACTGTAATATCTGTTTCAATAACTTTAGTTTTATTGTGTGAGATGCTTTGAAATGTGGCCTCGTCAATGCTCAGCAGCCCCCAAACAGGAAGCTGATTGCAACTGTCTAGTTGTGGTGCTTTAGAGTGGGAGAGGAGGGGGCTGAAGTGCCATCAGGATGCCCCATACCTGGCCGTCCAAGCCTCCTCCATCACCCACCCCTTTTACCCCCTCTCTGAGGTCAAATTTCAATCTGGGAGAAGCAGCCGGGGTGGTTCTTTTTGCCTCAGATGCAAAGGGGTGGAGAGCCCCAGTGGGCAGGGTATCCTAAGGCTCCTAGATGCCGTCTGGGGTCCGGGGAGGCAGAGAATTGCTCTCCTGTACATCAAAGCAACAATGCATGCTGTCCTATGCATTTTCTTCACTGGAAGAAACTGCACACTCAGAAGGCAAATCCATCTGAGGAAGGGCAGGGTGTGTGGAAAAAGAAGGGGACCCCCCCCCCCCCGCTCCTATTCTGGTGCTCCTGATCCTGCACAGTGGGGACTATGGCACCCTTTTTAAAAAGGAAGAAAGGAAACGGGGGTGGGGGGGGCGGTTTCAGTGATGGATTTTCTGTGTCTCATTTAGTTTGGTTCTTTATCTTGAATACATCAGTAGTGACTTTTGCTAGCAACTGGGATAGAATGTAAAAGAGCCAGATAAAATGTGAACCTGCATTCCAGTCAGTAAGCTTTTCATGAGATTTAATGAAATGGGAAATGCAAACCTCAGTTTCTAAGCTCTTTATGTGAAAATGAGTTTTAGGATCTTCTCTCATACACACCTGCATATGGTGTTCTGCACTTACCTTTCCTTCTCCTGCATTCCACTCCAAATTTCTATTTACTAAAATGCTGCTCAGTGATACAGAAAGACCAATTTGTATACAAAGTATTCTATACAGAGAGATAATGAGGACTAGCTGACTGCAGAGATACTGTACTTCTCTTACCTCTACTAAGGGATGCCAGTGGGTTATTGGCTTGCGGGGGTATGCTAACATTTCATTCCAGTGGTCTCTTCCAAGTCCTTCTGCATCAAGGCCAGTCCTACATACCCCGATCACCTCATTGTGTCCTACTCTACGATTAAAGAAGGAGAAAGGAATATCTGAAGGTTATGCATAACCTTTGCTCAAAAATAATAAAATATTACAAGTTGAATTACCTCAACAGAATTACCTGAAACAGAAAAAGCTAGATTGTGTAAACCGTATGAATCATGCAAATTAAAAAAATCTGATTTCTCTTAGTTTGCATCATTTATATTCCTTCAGCTAGACAAAAGCCAGTGTGCTGTAGTCATTAGATTGCTGGACTGGATCTCTGAAGATTTGGGTTTTAGTCTCCACTCAGCCATGGAGCTCACTTAGGACAAGCCACAGGCTTTCGGCCCAACCCACCTTGTTGCTGTGAGGATGAAATGGAGAGGAGGAGAACCTGCTGAGCTGCTTTCGGTTCCTTGTAAGAGGGAGAAAGGTGGGGTACAAAGGCAACGAGATGGTGATGATGGAAGGGGCACAGAAGTGCAGACATAGAATCCCACCCTCTGGCCACTGGAAACCTCATTTGTCAAATTCTACTAGCCTCTGAGATTTTACCATCCACTTGTCATGCTCTTTCAAGTATATTGCTACATCCATAAGGCCTAGAAGCTTGCTTAAAGTATCAAACCAAATAAATAAACCTGAGATTCTTAGGATGGCTAATTCTACAGACAATGCCATAGGGTCTGCTTCCACCAAACTGTAAGAGACACACAATTCTGCCTGCTCATGGCATCACATGGGAAACCTTGGCAGCTAGGGATGTTTTGGGATTGCTATTTGATTTTTACAGTTCTGAGCGTGTCCTTTTAATGCCTCTAAAAGCATTTCCATTAGCTAAATGTACTCAACACTGGGCAATGGAAGTTAAACTTGCTGACAGGACTGGATTCTTAAATGGATTTGGCTGATCAGAGCCTGCAGAGCAACCATCTTTGTAGCAGCAGGTGGGGAGGGTCTCAAATTGCTTAATTATTTGAGGATGACACACAATGTCACCCTTCAGTAATTAGGGTGGCCACTTAGGAATCACCAAAAGGAGTAAGTAACTAACACCCCCCCCCCCCAAGTTGGGGGCAAAAGAGGACATCAATCTGCAAAAGGTTTGCCTCGGTGAATATACATATGTACAGAGCCACATTTATAAATCACAATGGCAAGGTATAGAGAAATGCAGAATATCTCACCAAAGTGTGGACATCTGTGACCAGGTGAGCTGCATGCCTGCCCACCCAATTCCCATGGCTCCTTCTCTTTAGACCAAAATTGGAAGGCAGCCACTGAACACAAGATGCCTTTAAACAGAGGACAGTCCTCTGGCAGCCCATCAAGCATAGGACTGCCCTCTGAAAAGGGAACATATGGACACCCTACTCTTTATTTAGATGCAAAACGATCAACGGTGTAGATTTAACCAGCAGTGTTTGGTAAACATCCATTAATGGCCTAGGACTGAGTCTTAAAGCTCCATGTGGCTTTTGAAGCAAGGACCTGTTCCATCCCCCACAGATTTGCCACTTACTGATATTGCTGTGAAAGAGTCTCTTCCAGTTCATCCCACTGTCTGGGCAAGATGGGAAGGGAACTCTCTCAATGGGACAGCTTTGTGGTAGGATCTCCATTGCTCTCATTTTGGTTTAAGGAAAAGGCCCCTTTCTCTTTTCAGGACTCAGCCTTCTTTTAAGTCATTGTGAATGTTTCTTCCTGCCTTCCTGATGTATTTATTGATTATTTCTCATGTATTTATTTAAAGTTTTTATATGCAGTCCCCTTGCTACATAGCTACATACATATATAGCAATAGTGATCTTAATCCTCTGGGTGCTGGTCCTTCGGATGGCAAAAAAAATCACCCAAGTGCAAGAGAATGCTATCTGCATCCTTGGAGGAGCCCTGAGCATTGCAGAAATGTAAGCAAAATATTTAGGGTACAATCCCGTGAACTGTACCCCCCTGGAGTCTGGCCTCTCCAGCATCAGTGGAGCTATTTACCCACTGTGAATGCTCTCCACAGCACTAAGCCTTGGCAAAGGATAAGGTTCAGCACCAAGAGCAGTGGCTTTAAAGTTCAGAGTGAGATCTGCAATGGTTGCACAGCTCCACTGATACTGAAAGTGCTAGAATCCATCAGGGCCCAGCTGCTTGGGAGCCCACAGATTCAGCTGCAAGCTTCCTATGACCTGCTGAGCCAAAGATGAGAGGGCAGGAGAAGCAGCCAAGGTGAGTTTTGCCTCTCTGCCCTCTGATCTTCAAGCTTTTTGATAGGCATTTTCCTTATTCTGGTCTCTTCCCCTCTTTCTCACCAGAATGCACACCTTTTCCTTTCTCCAGGGTTGGCTTTCTGACCTCAGAGAGGCAGGGGCATGCTTCTCTGCACAGCAGCTGCAAGGCAGATCTTGGATGCCCCCTTCTGAGGTCTCCTGTTATCCGTGGGGCACATGCCCAGGGACCACTGGATTCTTCTTTTAGATTACAATCAATGGTAAGGAGCAAACCCCACAGCCATAGAGCCCAGAAAGCACTGAGTGTGTTCACTGAGCATGGAATGCAGACTGTTTGGAGGAGAAAAACAAGACCCAGAAAACAGGGAGTGATGAATGTGATGGAGGAACCTGGAAGAAAGTATGACTGGCTGGCTGGATCATGGGTTGCAGAGATGGTTGAAGTGGAGTTGGAAAACCAGGAGGAACATTTTATCTTCTGTTCATCTTTAGTGAACTTCCTGAATGCATTTTCCCCATGTTATATTGTTAGCTCTCCTGGAAGCATCGTGTTCTAAAGACTGTAGATGCGAAGGGTTGGATGCAGACTTAATCATGGCTAGAACAGACCATTCATGGGGCTTATTTTACTTATGAGGAACCTAAGTCCCATTGATTTCAAAAGGTCTGCTCCAAACACGAGCTATGCCCACTTATGAGATCAGTGAGACTTGATCAATGAGTGGACATTTTTTAAAGTTTGAAAAAATGAATGAGAAAAATGCAACATACCGGTCATAGTCCATAACAGCAATGGCAAGGCTGACTTGTTCCACATTCTCTGGAGGGATATCAAAGACAATGGCCTCGCTGTACACCGGATTGAGTGTGTTCTTCTTTGTAGTTGTTTTCCTCTTTTTTAATCGGCGACCATCACACATAAGGGATACTTTGACGTAGGGATCTGAGATAACAGGAAGGAAGTTTAACAACCAGAAGAAAGTGCATGGACAGTTTCCACAATGGAAGGAAGCCGACAAGTCCGTTCTGTCATGGAGCTGGAAGGGGCCATTTAAGACATGGAGTCCAATCAGTGTAGGAATCCAGATGAAAATGGAGTACCGCAGGGGTCCATTTTGTCCCCTTTGCTGTTCAACATCTACATGAAACCGCTGGGGGAGGTCATCAGGAGGTGTGGGCTGCAGAACCATCAGTACGCTGATGATACCCAGCTCTACCTCTCATTTTCCACTAATCCAGGTGAGGCAGTGGCTGTACTGAACCAGTGCCTGGCCGAGGTAATGGGCTGGATGAGGGCCAATAAACTGAAGCTCAATCCAGACAAGACGGAGGTCCTGTTGGTTGGCCGATCGGGCTTCGGAGAGGGTGAATTGAACCTTGTCCTGAACAGGGTTGCACTCCCTCCTAGGGACAAGGTCCGCAGCCTGGGAGTGCTCCTCGACCTGGAGCTTTCACTGGAAGCTCAGGTAACAGCAGTGGCGAGGAGCACTCCCAGGCTGCGGACCTTGTCCCTAGGAGGGAGTGCAACCCTGTTCAGGACAAGGTTCGAATCATCCGCTCACAACACCGACCGGCAGTGCTTTCCTCCAGCTTCGGCTAATTCATCAGCTGCGCCCCTATCTGGAGAATGACTGCCTTGCGACAGTGACACATGCGTTGGTGACTTCCCGTTTGGACTTCTGCAACGCGCTCTACGTGGGGCTACCCTTGAAGACGGTCCGGATACTTCAATTGGTGCAGAATAGAGCTGCCAGGCTGCTGACGGGGACTGGGCGTTATGTCCACATGACTCCACTTCTCCGTCAGCTTCACTGGCTTCCCATTAAAGTCCGGGCCCAATTCAAGGTGTTGGTGATGACCTATAAAGCCCTAAACAGCTTGGGTCCTGGTTACCTAAAGGAGCGCTTACGTCCATATATGCCCAGCCGCCCCCTGAGATCTGCGGGAGAGGCCCTTCTCCGGGAACCCTCCGTGAAAGAAATTAGGAGGGTGGGTACTTGGAGGAGGGCTTTCTCTGCGGTGGCGCCTAAGTTATGGAATGCGCTCCCAGAGAGGTCTGCCTGGCGCTGTCGTTATTTGTTTTTCGGCGCCAGGCGAAGACCTTTTTATTTAAGCAGCATTTTAAATGTTAATACTACTGAATTTTATCTGGCCAGGGCGGCTTATTTTATATTGTATGTTTGTATTTTATTCCAATGTTTATATTTTTAATTTATGATTATTATTATTTAATTTATTGTTGTAAGCCGCCCCGAGGCTTCGGCGAATGGGGCGGCATAAAAATGTTTTAATAAATAAAAAAATAAAAAAAATAAAATAAAATATCCCATCTTCACTTGCATATCTCTATAGCCAGAGAGACATTACATTCCTTGGCAGTTGGTTTCATCCTCTGACTACTTTTTCTGATGCTGAAACACAGTCTGCCTTCCTGTCACTGAGGCCTGTTATTCAGTGTCAGAGAACAGGTGGGACCCTCCTTTGTGTGAAACCCAGAATACAAGGAACCAGTGTTATTTAATGTATTGGGAAATAGCACGGAGTCAAAGCAGTGAGATGTTGGAGAAATACAAAATAGATTCAGATGATTTTGGATGTCTACGAACTCAACTCTGAAGAAGACCGGCATCTTCTGAGTTGCATGGACTCGGTGGTCCTGTGGGCCATTCTTTTTTAAAACTTTCTGGAATTGTATGTAATATATTTATTTTCACAAAAGTTACTGAAAAATATGTTGGTATTCTATTGTTATAAGACAATAAACAATGTGATATTAAAGCTAATGTAAGTTATGTTGCAATAGCAAACACGACTTTAGTGAAATGCCAATAACTTGCTGGTGTAACAGGTTTTCTGGGGACACAAGAAAAATATTTCTGTACCACTCAATAACTGCAGCACTCTGGGCAGTTCACAATAATTTATCAAAGTATAATAGAAAGAGATTCAATAAAAATACAGATACAATAAAACAGTGTACACATTTTAAAACATTTTAAACAACTAAAATAATTTCGGTAAAACTAAACCTAATTAAAACAGCTGACAAAACTATCCTTATGCAATTAAATGCCTGAGAATAGAGGAAAATTTCAACCTGACACCAAAAACATAGCAGGTGGGTACCAGGTGGGCCTGTGAGCGGAGATCATTCCATAAGGAGGTGTCTAATGCCTGCTTGGTATTCTGTTTGGTACCAGGTAAAAACCTTTTAATTTTTCCCAGCATTTTAACAGTTTAACTTTGTAGACTTAGTTTTAATATTGCATTTTATCCTTTACTACTTCCATACATCTATGCTGATTCAATTGTAATTGCTGTGATTTTGTTGTTTTAAATTATTTTTTGTTGTTTGTGTATTTTTAACTTTTGTTAACCACTCAGGGAGGCTTAGCTATTGGGTGGTATAAAAATGAAATAAATAAATAAATAAATAAAGGAGGCCACCACTGAGAAGACCGTCCTCCTTGTTGCCTCTTTCTGGGCTTCCTTGGAGTTGCCAGTTGGAAAAAGGCCCTGATGACGATTGTAGGGTCTAGGTAGAGGGAGGCTGGGATTGGTGTTCCATTGGGTATTACAGTCCAAAGCCATGTAGGGCTTGGTATTCTATTCTATTCTATTCTATTCTATTCTATTCTATTCTATTCTATTCTATTTTAATATACATTAAAACTGGCAGATACAGTTTGTTAGCCCTCATCCAGTCGTTTGTTGTAGCCAGGCACCAGTTCCACACATCCACAGCCTCACCTGATGAGCATGAAAGGGAAGAATGGAGCTGCACGTCATCAGCATACTGATGGGAACACAGTGCAACACTCCAGATGACCCCACTCAGCAGTTTCCTGTAGAAGCTAAATAGCCTGGGTGACAAGACCAGCCCCTGAGGAACTCCATGCAGGAGAATCCATGGGGCTAAGCAATGTTCCCCAAGCACCACCTCCAAGTTCTGCTGGAGGCTATTTATGGTGGCCAGATTGCAGGAAAAGCCATATGAGGTGAGACTGAGGGAACTGGGTCATTTCAGCCTGGAGAAGAGGAGACTCCGAAGGGATCTGTTGGTGACATACAGGTATGTGAGGGGGTGTCACAGGGAGACCTGTTCTCCCCTGCAGAGGAAGGCAGGATGTGCTCTGATGGAACTAAGCTCAAGGAACCAAGGTTCAATTTGAATGCCAGGAAGTACTTCCTGACACTTAGGACTCCTAGGGTATGGAATGGGCTTCCATGGGAGGTGGTTGAAGCCCCATCAGTGAGGGTGTTCAAGGATAGGCTAGACATTTACATAGTATGCATGTCATGAGTGGAGCTGGCTGGAGCCTGGGGTCAGACTAGATGACCCAGGAGGACCCTTCTGACTCGCTCAGTTTCTATGTTTCTATATTATGTTAGTGGTAATGTTGATTTAGATACTGCCCATAAGCTTAATATGTTGTGATGATGGATTGTATCCCATATTAGCTTAAATCTCATTAATTTCAGTGGTTCTGCTCTAAGTAGGAGTAACATTGGATACGGTCTGTTGTGTGTGTTGATTGGTTCCTTTAATTGAAAATTGAATTACATTTTCTTTAGTGCTTCTCAGAAACATGGCAAATTTCTGCAAAGAAGAAATAAAGCACTGAATCATTTCCCTTAGTTTGTTATGCTGAAGCCCAAACTATGTGCTATCCAGGGTTTCATAGTTCACCACATTTTTGGCCCCCAAATTGGCCTAGGAGAAGATTCCAGCTGGGTAGAAGATGGGTGTTCAAAGAGATTTTGCTTTACCCTTTCCAGTTTGATCTTTCCCAGTTCAAAATCCCATTCCCCCATTGCTTTTTCATCTGTGTGGGTAGAACACAGAAACTGTGTATCTTCTTTGTATTTTTTTTCCTGCCCAGTCAAAAGGTAGTGTAGGGAATGGTGCTTTGGAGCTGGAAGTAAAATGGCAGGAGAGTGAAGGATTATGTAGCCTCCCTTTTGCATCTGGTCAGGGATGGTCCTAGGCTAATTTGGGATGCTGCTGTTGCTGGCGATGATGACCTCCACCTCAACCATTTTTCAAGCCTCCCTGCCTGCAAACTCCACATCACGTGCATTGAACCCCTGGTGGCAAGAGAGAGCCCCCATAGATTCAACACCCATTCAGTGGGCCAAGTAGAACGGCACTTGCTCACCTGACGAGCCAGTGATGTCCATAGCTTTGAGATTTCTGCATTTGATGACGGTGAGGGTCATCCTCCCCGCTGTAGGCAAATAGCACAGGGAAAACATGATCTCCCCCAAATCAATACTTTCCTGAAAAACAAAGAAACAAAAATGTTAAAAACTTTGTCCTTTTAAAAGTTAAATGTTAAAAGTTTTGCAATGGAAAACAACTCAAGTCTTGCCAAGGTGTTTGAAACATTGACCTTCTTCAAAAGCACATGCATCAGATTGGATTTTAATCACCCTTTTCTGAACAGCTCAATGTCAACGTTAGGGTTGTGGGGGGCGGGGGGGAGGTACATGTGGCCATCCAGATGTTGCTGAACTCCAGCTCACATGAGCTATAGTCAACATGGTCAGCAGGTAGGCAATGGTGGGAAATATAGTCCAACACCATCGGTTGGAACCACAGGTTCTTGCCTCCTGATTTGTTAGATTTAAGGACACACTTCGATAGCTGCCCAATACTGTCTACAACAGCTGTAGGAAAGGTTGGAGTTCCAGCTGCAACATCAGAAATGCTTTCTGAGGTAGGAACCGCAACTAACCTCAGAAAGCCCTCCTTTCATCCAAGCAGCTGGTGCAGTCCTTTCCACCCAGCTGCAACTCTGAGGTCAGAAAATCAACCTCACAAGACAGTGTTGGTGGGAATCCCAAGGGGCAGGGAGGGAAGGACTGAGGCCCTGCAGGGATAACTGTATCTTGGTGGAGCCTGAGCTCTCTTCATGAGCAGAGTTCACCAAAATCAACCAACAAAGTGTTTTGGATGGCAGGAGGAGTGCTGAGGAAACCCTCGCTGGCATCCTCCTTCCACCCTACATTGGATGCCTGCATTCTTCTCAGTTCAGAGGGATACTAGGAGCCACATTTGTTGGCATCCTAGCTGACTTACAGCAGAATCTTATGCATGGTTATACCGAAGAAAGTTCTGCAGCTCCCAACAATCCCTGGTTGACTAAGATTCAGTCATCCAGGGAATTTTTCATTAAAACATACTGATTGACTAAAAAGGTGACCCTCTTGTATTTGATCAGCAGGATGTTTTAAACATTGCAGATGCCAAACACCATTTTATAGGAAGAAGAAGAGGAAAACTGATTCCCCCACTCCGGCCCTATGTGGAAGCTTTTTAAGTGTTCCAATCAAATATGGATGCATATTTTTTTCGGACGATCCTTCAGCTACATATTTCACACATCCAAACTCAGCAGTAAGTGAACTTCTGCTTAAATTCATTTGTTTTAATTGTCCCCTAAGATGACCCATGATGTATAATAGGAATTGTAATCAAGGACTTTTTTTTCTCCTTTACATTTTGGTCTTGCTGTATTGTTATGTTACTCTTCATACTTGTTGCCTCTGTTTTAAAAATTGATTTCAATATGCAATGCCATGTTAAAAAAAGGAAGCAGTCTCTGCCATTTCTTAATTAAAGAAACATGGAACCAGATGTATGGGGAGTACGTGGTGGGGGGTGGGGAGAAATTTGTACCATTTACATTTTAAGGCACTTCCCTAATTCGGGCATTCTCACTACTATGCAAATAAAAACTTAGTTAGTCTTCAGTAAATCCACACTTTAACAAATTTTGCAATGGACTTCTCAAATTAAAAATGAGTATATTAGAGAAAATAATGTTCAAATAGACACTTTACTAAGAAAACGTCTAGCAAAAAAGTATATATTTGGATAAATGGTTAAATATTTGTATTAAGGAAATGAATTCTTCTGAATTCTCGTGCAAACTTTTGAAAGAAAAATTTCTAAAGTTGGTGATGAACAATGAACAACTGGGGGAAAGTGAAATCTATTGCAACAGGATAGAAGAAATGCAGAGTTCCTGCCCTCATCCCTCAGTGTGAACCTGCCATGTCCCTGGAAGGTTACATGAAGGATGGTCTGCCCAGAACCTGCTGGAATCTAAGATCATCTTCAGAGATCCTGTTGCAGATGTGGCATTGGAATACTAAGAAGAGAATCTTTTGGCTCCCAGTAGTACTTGATCGTCTAACTCTGGGGGTCCAGCTGGAGGGCTGCTTTCTCAGACATGAGCTCCATTGTTTGAGGACATGCCTGGGTAAGTGCAGCTGACATAGAAAGGCCAGACATCTGTCATGATCTGTTCCATAGTTCTGAATGTGTGATGCTAGGCTCCTGTTCCAAAATGGAAGCCCAGGAGCACTTGCTATTTTATTCTGTGAAATCTTCATACAGTGCCTGTTTCTTTAAAGGCGTATGGCCAAAATGGAATGGCACCAAGTAAGTGTGCTTAGAAGAGGGGTACGGCGAAGCCAATTACGTTTTTTTGCACTGTAAATCATTACATGATTTACCTGGTGCCAAAATCCTATCTTGCAAAAGGAAACTTTCCTGTACAAAATAACAATATGTCCATGGTATAATTTTGATAATTTTTGTGCTTAATTTAGGACATTGTTAGTCTGGCAGCATTTTACAGTGAGCCTTTCATGGCAGCTTTGTTTGTATTATGTCAAAATCACACGAAATGCAAACAGAAGCTGCTAGGGGGAAACAAAATACACTGAAGTGGATGTGAAATAATGCACCAACTGGGGGACTGCTGAGAACTGGATAAAAGCATCCTCATATATGAAGCAGTGAAAGCAACACTGGCATTTTCACAGTGATAAGCTGCTCAAATATCAAGAGGATTCATGCAAACACACAAAGATTCAGAACAAGAAAGAGGCATGTGAACTGAGAAAAAAGTAGTGTTTGAGGTCACATCTTCTTGAGTCCTTGGGAGCTGATAGTTGCCATGAACATCCCATGCCTATACACGAGGCAGAAGCCAATCAGGTTCTCCTGCTGTGACACATGGGTGTGAGAAATATATGTTTAAATATACTTCTCATAGTGCAGAGGTGTTGAACTCAAGCCCAATCCAGCTGAGCTATTCTTTTCATTTCTATTTGATGCTTCCCTGCCTTTCTACCAAGAAAAATGGCACTCAAGGATGCTTACAATTAAAAAAACTCAATTAAAACATCAATAAAACAATATATTAATACTGAATAAAACACAGCAACAAAGGAATAAAAACTGCAGCCAACTAACCAGACCATCTTCTATGTTTGAATGAAGAGGTATTGGCCTGATGGCCAAAGAGCACCAAAGCAGGAGCGAACTCAACTCCTTCAGGAGGGAGTTCCACAGCCTGGGAATGGCCATTGAGCAGGCCAGCAAATGTGCCTTTGAAGGTCACGGTGCTGAAAGAAGGGCCCCTGGTGCTGTAACCAAATAAATGAAGACCTAGCTGCAAAGCTGGGCTTGTTGCTGGATAATGGATAGAAAAGGCCAGAAGATGTGTGATGGGTGAAATAGGTGATATGTGAATCGAACAAAGAATCCCGTCCACGCAGAGGCAAATTTCAATATATAAAGATCAGAACAAAAAGAAGTGTTTCTTTATTTCACTTCTAAAAGCAGGTGTCTGAAAAGCAGGTACTGTGCCTTCTGGAATGATGTGGAAGAAACCTGCCTGATCCTTAACTGCATCACTGCAGAAGACTGCAGGTCTGTGATGTGTTTTGGCAAGCATTTACAGACGGCTGGTTTGAGGACATTGTCCCTGTTCTCCTCCATCTTTTATAGGCAGCAATTCTGGAGTTTAAAAGTTGTTTTATCACCATATTTGCTCACTAAAGATTTCTTTGGAGTTTGTTGTTATTCATTTTATATATTGTGTTTTATTATTTTGTGTGCATTTCCTCTTTGTTTCACCAACCTTTGTAATTTTTGTTCCCACACCTTTTATATTCAAATTTGAATTATGTGGTATGACAGACTTTTTTCTTTCAAAACAACTGTGTGTGCGAGGGAGATGCGGGGGGGGGGGGATTTTAATCAGAGCAGCATCCCCAGGGCACATAGTGCACAACAATTTGCTTTTGCATTTCCACTCCAATTGAAATCACACCCCAGGCCAAGCTGCAAGTAGTGCCACATGATATACTCTTGGGTTCTGAACATCTTTGTGATGCCAATGAGGGAGGAGAAATTTCAGTCAGAACAAAACAAAGGCAGGGAAAGAGTTAACTCCCCATAACAAATGCCCTATTACATGCTTCCAAATCTGCAGCTCTGTGATCGGATCTCCTGCACAAAATCTCTTTCACTCAAAGGAAAGATGCTCAGGTCAAACCTGCACCATTGACTCCCAAGCCCTGTTTTCCTAATCCCAGGTGCAGGTGGTTCCCCGAGAATTTCAGTGGGTCTGGCTACACCCACCAATAGCATGGCCCCAACTAGTTTGCATTTCTTGACGCTGTAGGATCTGTGGCTCTCTTAGCGGAGAGGAAGGGACCGGACCAAGCAGCATCTCCCAGGGCTGGCTGACCTGGTGCCTCCTTTGCATGCCCCTCACCATCCCAACTAGGGCAGTGGGAGCTGCAAGAGGGGTGGCCAGCTGGAACTAGGAGGGCTTGTGGGTCCCAGCACCAGCTGAGTCAGTTGACTCCTGGCATGCTTCTCACCATTTCCATGGGGAGTGAGAGATGCGTGAAGGATGAGTCAGCCAATTTAGGAAGGCTCAACTCTCCCAGTGTCCATGGCTTCACATGCAGTGCATTTCCATGGTTATCTCTGATCTGTGATCAGATGTGTTGGAATTCTCATGCAGAAAAGTCAGTCGCCAGATTGGGAGGGGAAGTGGGAAGGGGAGTCTTTGGCATCTCCAACCACCTTGTTCCAAGGCAATCATAGAAACATAGAAGAGTAGACTTGAAAGGGGCCACAGGGCCATCTGGTCCAACCTCCTGCTCAGTGCAATGGCTATTTGTTCTCCATAGTTTTTCTGGATAGCAAATATACCCTGGTGATCTCAAGTTCTCTAGACACCAACAGAAGGCAACCATTCTACCTAATTAGTAGAAGGTAATTCTGAAAAGTTTGGGAAATGGGAGGCCAAACACTTTACTGCTATCGTCTAAGATGCAGCTGTTACCAAACACCTCAGTATGCTGCTATTTTTGACATGTCTCTGGAAAAGAAGGCCTCATTTCAGTTTGGGGAAGCACAGGAGACCTCTGTCAACTCTGAGCCAGGCCTGGAACCTGAAACAGAAAGAGCATGTGACATGAGGCCCACAACCATCTGGCAAGCTCTTGTTCTCCAGTCCCAGTCTGACTTCCTTCTCCTCCCCAGAGATCCGTACCAAAATTAGAGTGATCATGCAGACACAAGCCTCAGAAGAGTCACCAGGTAGATGTATCCAACAGTTGTTGCGATGATGATGATGATGATGATACCTTCCTACTTAAGCATGTGAATGTTTTGGAGGGTACTATGTACAGATATCTACAGTTATTACATACCCAGTCAAGGGGAGAGAGGAATCATTATAGAGAATGCAGTGGCTCTTACAGGTTTAAAGTCGGGAATGTGGCACTTACTGTGGTGGCGCAGTGGATGTCTTTCCATACTGTTGCCTCTCTGGAGAGATCAGAGACTTCAAAAAAGTTATCAAGAATAACTTCTCCTATCATATCGTGTCTGGAAAACCTATCAAAATCATATACACTGAAATGCAGTTTCCTGTTGCAAAGTTGGTCATAGGCTACAGGGAACTGAAAGGTTTCATCAAAAATAGGGTTTAAAGTCTTCCTGTGCACCCGTGTCTGAAATTTCTTTTTTCTGTCTGGAAGAAGATAGATTTTCACATATGGATCTGATGTGCCAGTGAAGTCTTTCGCTGGTAGCTCCAGGGCTTTGACAATAGTCACCAAAAGCAGTTCATTTTCATAGTCATATTTGAGGGTGAAGTTAAGTTTCCCACAGGTTTTCACATCTTCTTTCTTGCCTTCAGAATCTACAGACTTTTGTTTGTAAAGCTCAGGTTTTATCCTTCCAATGCTGGTTGTTGTCTCCCCTCTTTGTAAGACTGGATCTGTCCCCATGTTGAAATCAATGCTGGACACTTGCATCTGCCTTGGCAAGTGTCTCCTGAAAGAATTGTGCCTGAATACAAAAAAGCAAAAAAATTAGCATTGATTATCTCAGTGGGAAAGATAATAACATTTATTGTTGCTAAAAATGAAAGAAATAAATCAACAGCTCACATTTAACCACTTTCCATTATTGTTATAACTCTCTTGGGAGAACAATTACTGACAATATTAGGTAATTCTAGAAGATAACTCAGTATTTCAGTTCAAGAAGCTTGTTGACAATTTGGAAAAAAATCCAGAGGGAAACTATAAAAATTATAAACGGTTTAGAAGGCAAAGGCTGAAGGGAATAATTATGTTCTACCTTGAGAAAGAAGATGGATCATGGCATGAACTGGCAGTGCCCTGCTCCAGCAGTGAAAGAGAGAGCAGACAAAACTGTTTACCAACCATTCCCTTTGGTCCTTTTCTATTTGTAGCCTTTTCCACTGCTAGGCAGATTATTTTTCCTGGCTGCTTCCATCAAAGTAGTCTTAAATATCTGTGGGTCTTGGGCAGGGGTTTAGTTCTTAGATGTGGAATGGATAAACCAAAGGGAAATGAGATCACAAAGATTCCAACAGAAAGACTACATTTTTACTGAATATAAGTGTTCACGTGTTCCTGTTTGAATATCTAAATAGATGCACACACACAAAATCAATACAGTAATACAATAACCAGGGATAAATACATCCTGATGGACTAACTGGACTGTGTCCCTATTTTGTCTATTTCCCATAAACAATACCTTATTGTGAAACACCCAGCACTCTCTCAACCAGTTCTCCAGTTCCAGCTGTTGTGACTCTTTCTGGCCTTCTTTCCTTCCTTCACTTTTCTTGCTGTTTTTCTGCTCTCTCTGTTAGGTTGTGTAACTTAACAGCACTTAGTTTACCTCTTCCACTGCAACCAATCATGAGGGTCATTTTCTTATTCTCCTTGGACCTAAATTTCTTTTCCTAAGTTCTTCTTCTGACCTTAAGTCAAGTCTCCTATAGCCTCCCTTTCTTCTTCCTCTTCAAGTAGTTCTTACTTCTCTGATCTAAGTTTTGACTGTAGCTGCCAGCAAACGTTTGTCTTCCTCAACATGCAATCTGGCTCTTATAACCTAACCAATTGTTTGACTTTCCAGCTGAAATACACCCACCCACACACACATTTTAACTAGTCTACAAATGAGCAAAGGAAGGTAGAAACTGGAAAGCACTCTAAGTCAGGAGAGCAAGATAGCTATGGCACCATCCCTGCAAACGATCTTCTGAAATTCCACCCTAGTGGATGATGAAGGATGCCTTGAGGTTTGCTGGTATATATTTGACCCAAGCCACAATCCTATGCAAAGCAGAGACATGACCCTGCTGACAAAAGTTCATATAGTTAAAGCTATGGTTTTCACAGTTGCAATGTATGGCTGTGAAAGTTGGACCATAAGGAAGGCTGAGTGCTGAAGAATAGAGGCCACTGAATTGTGGTTCTGGAGAAGACTCCTGAGAGTCCCCTGGACTGCAAAGAGATTAAACCAGTCAATTTTAAAGGAAATCAGCCCTGACTGCTTTTTAGAAGGTCAGATACTGAAGATGAAACTCAAATATTTTGGCTACCTAATGAGAAGGGACAACTCACTGGAGAAGACCCTGATGCTGGGAATGATGGGTGGCAAAAGGAGAAGGGGATGGCAGAGGATTAGGTGGCTGGATGGAGTTACTGAGGCAGTTGGTGTGAGCTTCAGTGGACTCCGGGGGATGGTGGAAGACAGGAAGGCCTGGAGGAATGTTGTCCATGGGGTCATGATGGGTCAGACATGACTTTGTGACTAAACAAACAAAACAATCCTATGCATGGCGAGACACAAAAAGGTCCTACAGTTCCCACCATTTCCCATCCAGCATGGAAATGCTGGGAGCTGCTGGCTTTTTTCCTCCTTCTCTATACCTGCATAGAATAATGTGGCTTCATACCATGTCAAATGTTGTCTTTATATTCAACTGATTGTTGAAAAAAGCACACACTTTTCTATGACCCTGCAGCTTTAGAAACTAAAATGAAATAATGAAAGGGAAGATAGTAAAAATGACCACTCAGAAGGTGAGAACAGAAGTAGGAGATCAATAGTGTAGGTTGGTTAGATCTTCTGCTGCTGCTTCACTGAACCAGACAGTGGAGAAAGGCATTCAGGTGTCTGATTAGCCTTTGAGCCTGTCTATTTCACCATAGCACTTTTGTAATACTTCCTTACCCTTGTAAAATATACTTCAGGGCATCATGCAATGTGGCTGCCCATAATCCTCTGAGGGTTACTGGCATCCAGTGGAAGGTAGGAGGAGAGTGGAACCTTGGGTGACCTCTATGCTCTCTCCATTCATCTTCCAAAGCTTTGATGAATGATGTCAGCCATCTAGATGCTTTCGCCTCCTCACAGGGAAAGGTTGAGGCACCACTGGAATTCTTTAGAAGATGGCAGTGCCTCACTCCTCCCCTTTCCACCTCCCATGCCAGGTCTGAAGATGGTCTTTGAAGCCCAGCTGGTGCATAAAGAATCATGCTCCCTCCGTAAGGGTGGAGGGACGGCCCTCCAAGGCTGGAGTCCCAGCTCTGTCCTTGGTGTGTCTTTCCTAGGCCAGAGCAGGGGCTTTGACATATCCTATGCACCCCCCTCCCCCGGACAATGTTGCGAGGCAATAGATTCTATTTTTAACCAATTTGCCAATGGCTTTGCCTTGAATGGCATCATAGAATAGATACCAAAGTAAATGTCTGCATGTCCTCTGGTATTCATGGTTAGGAAAGGTAGGAATGCTAATGTTCTGTTCTTCAGCTTTTCCATTTTCAAGTACATGAAAAAAGTTGGAAGCCAGCTGTGACACCAGCTCTTTCATATTGGAATAAATTGTCCATATGGAAGCTATTATGCTTTACTTCATGAAAACTCTGTGAGCTCTGGAGAGAGTGAGAACAAGAATGGGAGTGAGAGAGAGTATTGCTTGCTCATGCCCTACTTTCTCTTGGCCACACTGCATTCAAACACACCAACTGCATTGAGATAGGACAATACACGGTGGGTTGTTGACATGCATTTGAACCCCAAAGTGGTACACCACCACACTTTGATGCAGCCACTTGATGACTGGTAACTTCCAACTTCCTCTGGCATGACCACAAGGAGGAGATTAGAAGACTATATTGCCATTTTCAACCAACCGTAACCCTAAACTGTGGTTAATTTATACTCTAGTCTATTGAACCAAGTTAGTTTCATACACCAACATTTGAAGCTGGCTTGTTTCAGTAAACCATAGTTAAGACTGACAACAGTTTGCCAAGCTTAACTGAGATTTAATGCCAAACTGAGATTCGTTAAAGATGGAAAGGAATACATCTGATCTCTTCGCAGCTGTGACAGAGGAAGAGACAAGGAAGCACGTGGGAGTGCCCACACAGTTTTAGGCCAAATCTCAGGCATGTTTAGACAGAAAGAAGCCCTGCAGCTCCTAGCATTCCAAGACAGCAATGCTTTTGGCTTCTATGTCTCTGAGTTTTTTTCAGTCTAAACATGCCTAGGATTATGTCCTCAGGCTGGTATTGCTTTAGTGCTTTTACTGCATAGGAATATTGATTCCTATTTTCTCATTTTTTTAATACAATGAGGATAATGATAGATTATCCATCAGTCTGAGTACTTTAAATGGGTAAGGCTGCATACTGACATAAACAGTTAAAGCATGATGATTGCCAGCCCTTGAAGGCACATCTTGTTGCAATCATTTTACTCTGAAACAACAGTAGTGGCGGCAGATTATCCAATCTTGTCTTAAAAGGAAAGTGAGGCTTCTTCTGCCAGTTGCGGGTGTCTTTTGAAATGCAAACCACCTGTTGTTTCAAATCCAGTCTGATTGCTAGATTGTAACCTTTCTCTTGCCCTCTATTGTTAATGGTGTCATTTGCTCCCAATGCCAGTGAAAGTTGCTTCCCATGGGTGTAATACAGCATGGCACTTGTGCTCTTGTAAGTCAACGTCCTAATAACACAGGAGCTTGTGTATGTCCTGAGTCACAACTTTTCAGTGAGCTGCCCAATTGATGTGTTAATTACTTAAGCGTGTTTTTGTTCCCATGACAATATGGGTATGCTTTTCTGTTCTGCAGGAACAATAGAACTGGTATGATTGCTTGCCGTGAGGAAGGATAAGAAACTGGACCAATTAAGTTTCCTGGGATGCAACACAGTTAATGGCTTACACCTGCTGCACTGATTCCCTGCATCTGTGCACTCTGATTTGTTGTCTTGCCCAGGGCTTGCCTTCCTCTCTCTGGCTCCCAGGATGAACTAAAAAAGGTAACCCCTGCCAGCCCAAGATGCGGAAAGGTAGAAGTATACAGACATCTGGCGAGACAGCATCAGCTGGACTGCATATGAAAGCAGCCCCATTTCAATGCAGGCAGTAGAATTTCAGCAAAGAGACATGTACCAGCAGAATTCCTCCAGCAAAGCTTGGAGGGCCAGGGCTGAAGGTAGGAATGTCCAGGAGTCCACCTACTGTTTGTCATTACATATATGGGAAATTGTGTGTGAGGAACTTGCAACCAACCAGTTCTCCAAGAGCTGATGGATGGTCTACTATTTCCCCCTCCTCACATGGAGGACAGGCCAATGCCCCACCTGGATTCTTTGGAGGACACTGGTACCTCATTTCCATGCCCCTTGTAACACCCCAGAACATCTCCTGAAGATGGCCTTCCATCTTTGGAAGCACAGCCAACAGAAAAAAACATGCAACTGCAAGAAGGGACGGAGGAGCCCCTGGTGTGACTTCAGATGGCCATTCTGAGGTTACTGAAGGGGTTTCTTTCCCTATTGCTGGCCAGGCTGGATCTATCAGCTGTAGGATTGTGCCTTTCATGTGGAATAGCACAGGTACCTGCTTGCCACTAATGTTTTGAAATGTCCAAGGAAGATCATCCTTGTCTTGTCTTCCTTGTCTGACAATGGCTGGATGCCATTGGATGAATATGGGTGAAGCATGACAATTCT